CTGTTCCCAGAAACAAAGACTAAGACCCTGATTGGCCTAGTCCACACCAATCCACAAAACAGTTTGCCCCTGTAAGTATGGACTCATCTCACACTCACCAGGCCATTCCCAGCAGGATGCACCCTGTCTTGCAGCACCACTCTGCTAAGGTTGCTCTTCTTCTGCCTTCTCTGTATTTGCCACACTTTAAAAAAAAAATCCTTGGTTTCACACTACATTAGTTGTGACTCTCCCAATTTTTGCTAAGAGGCCCACTCCTTCATTCTTTGCTGAAGTGACAGAAAGGACCTGAAGAGAGGCAGAGGCTCACTCAGAGACCCCCCCTGCCCAACGCAACAGGGCAACAGGAAGATAAACATAAGCTGCTTACTAATACCACCACATTTTTTTTTTGGTACCGGGGATCGAACTCGGGCCCTTGCGCTTGTGCAGCAGGTGGTGAAACCACTGAGCTAAATCCCCGGCCCTAACCACATTTTATCAAGGAGGCTAAAGCATGTATAGATTTTCATATCTTCAGAGGCCCTGGAACCAGTATCTGGGACTCTGTGCCATCATACTACTGGTATGATTTTGTAACTCATGAAGGAACATATCATACATCTATACTGCTTACATGTTTTACTTCTTTATTGATTTTTCTCTGTCAGAATGCTCCAGAGGTTGAGTAGGCCATCATTTTTGTGTTAATGTGAGGTATGTAAAATACATTATCAAGGTAGTTTTTAATTTCCATTTTTTCTGATTACTAGTAAAGAACATTTTTTGTGTTTGTTGGCTTTTTCAGGCTTACTCTTTTTATAGCTTGACTATTCAAATATTGTGTCCTTTTTCATCCACTTGTTTATTCTTTACAGATTCCTAGAAGTTCTTTATGTGTTCTGGGTAGTAATCATTATTAGTTACGTGCAGGAAAGATACCTCCTTCCATTTTGCAGCTCCTTTTTTACTTTATTCATGTTGGTTTTGGTGAATAAAAGTTCTTCATCAAAGAAAGTGAATTTGTCAATTTTTTCAACTTATTTAAAAAAATTACCTGTTCCAAGTTCTGAACATCTTCTACTCTATTTTGTTGTAAATGTTTTTAGACCTTGGCATTGCATTTTCAGATATTCATGCATGTAGGTCTGTTTCTGTCTTTGCAGTTCCGTGCAGCTTTTTATTCAGTGGACATACGTGGAGGCTTTCTGCATGCCAGTCACTGTCTGATCCCTACAAGCCAGATGTGTATCACACAGGCATTTCTGCCTTTGTGGTGCTCATTTTCCAGTGCTGTATTTTGCCAGGATCCTACTTGTTAATTACTGTAACTCTATAAATCTGAATACCCAGAAGAGCAAGTTCAATCGCATTGTTCTTTTCCCGAATTATCAATACTTTTCTTGGTCCTTTATATTTTCACGTATTTTTATGATCTCCTTTTCAAATTTCATGAACGATATTGCTGATAGATGATATTTATTACCTTTCTACCCCCATAAGTTTTTGCTACTATGTATATGTGTAAAATTATATTTTAAGACAAATTAATAGCTAAAAATTAATAACAGGCTCTTTACTGATTTTTGTATGAATTTTAATTATATATGTATGTGAATGAAATATAAAAGTATGATTAAGCCAGAGATGCTTTTCAACAATTTTTTTTCGGAACGCTCTTTGACTTTCTGATCAAGTGATAACCTCTCCCCCTTAGCAGTCTTATACTTGAACACACCTTATGGACAGAACAAGTTTGATAGAATCAAGTCAAGAATTCACTGAGGTTTACTTATTCTCAAGGACAGGGCTTCCTGCTAGATCTCTACTTCAGAAAATAGAGCTTAATCCCAAAGTGCAGAGAGAATTTCAAATGTCCACACTAACCAACAAAAGGAAATAATCTTTTAGTTTAAAACTAAATTAGAATAAGTCTTACATTGACTTATACTGAAAATTTTGACATTAAATCTTTCCAATTCCTTATAAGCTAAGATTAAGAAAATGTAATATTAAGAAATAATAATCCAGCTTGAAAAAGGTATTTTCTTCAAAGCAACTTGTTAAGAATTATTTAAATATATGTATGTAGACAAAAATACATACAAAAAGGTATACTATAAAGAGGTATCTGCTGGTTCACAAAACAAGTGTTTGTATTTAACAAAAACCTCATTTCATTCAACTAACAAAATTCAAAGATTGCAGTAGTTAAAAATTTACACTCAAACCTTGACCTCTTAAGACTATTTTAAAGAGTTTTGCCATTTATGTTTTAGGAAGATTTCTCCATTATTTAAGATAACATGTGAGCCTTTCTGTTAGGAGACTATTATTGTCAACTGATTATTAGAAAGTCTTATACTGTTATCTTCTAGATCCTCAACTACAGAGTATGAAGGATTTCTAGTTTTTGTTATAAAGAAAACATCAAGTCACTGAAAATTTTCAGTGGTTCAGTGAAATTAGGTTTTATTCCACATAAAAAATAATTATAAATATTAATATACAAGATTCAGGTCAGCATTTCATGATACCTTGTAGCATTTCTACACTATTCCTGTAGGACCTTGGTATTTCTCATCTTTAGCTTTCTATTTCTCCTCTCTCAGATCTTGGTATGTTGACATGTGCTGCAGCAGTCAGGGAAACCACCCTGATCAAAGGTCTGTTATATCCTTTTGCCTAGTACTTCACTTTGTACATCTCCTTCTTAAATGCTAAAAAATTTGGAGAGTTGTAAGAGTTTTCCATTTTCATTGAATTCATTCTTAATCTGTGATTAAAATCATTTAAATTTCCTGAGAATTCCAAGAAGCTGTGAATAGCTGTTACATACTTCACCTAGAGTTTGTAGAAGTAGTTAGTTTAGGTATCTGAGTCTGTATCCATCCTGACCTAGATTTTTCTGTGTCAATTTTAAATCATGAAGTAAAGAAAGATACTCTACTCTTGCTCATGTTTTTCTTTTTAATATTCTCTTTTCTTTTTAATGTCATTTTCTTTTTCATATCATTATCTTTTTATTTTCATATCATTCTCAGTGAACCAATTCTAAAGATTTCAGAAGACATTGTTCTATCACATCCTTAAGAATGTGTTCCTACTTCATGGGAGTAAAGCATGTAAGGCTTACAGTCATGGCATTGCTGCTAATTACTGCCTAGCTAGTGAATTGTCAATAAGTCAGTTTTTGTCTCTTGTTTTTAATCAACACAATTTTCCACTGGTATGGATTATTTCTTGTGTTCTGTTCCTCTGTCATTTTCCGTGTGTTTTTGAGTTGATACTGTGAAGACAGACAATGATCTATTAATCATCTATGGTGTTGCTATTTCTATTTGCCTGTCAAGTCTAATTTCCTTTTGTGTGATTGTTTCTATTGTCAGTATTTTAAAACGAAAGACTATTTTCTATGGTTATATCTGTTATCTTTAGCAATAGGATGCTCCACTGTCCTAGCCCAGTGATGGTGAATCTTTTAGAGCTTTCAATGATAACAAAGAGCCAGCAGCAGTATGCATGCCATATGTTTACACCACTGTCCCAGGCCTTTATCAGTATACACTTCCATAAAGATCCATAAATTTTTATATTCAATAAAATACACTTCCATTTCCCAAGAATATTATTTAAATAGGTATTGAACACTATAAGGCAGACTCCTGCCAGGCACTGGAAATAATAATAAATAAAAGAGTTCCTGCCCTCAAGGAACTTACAATATAATGATTTTTGGTTTGGTGACAGTGTTCCAGTCCTGATAATATTTCTATATGATATGGCATATGCTCAGATCTTCTTTCTTGCACATGTTAGCCTGAAGCAAGTCACTTCTTTATGCCCTTGCTTAGTGATTATGTAGTAAATTTCAATCCTCTTTAGGATCAAGAAAGTGTATGTCGACAATCTTGAAAAGATGAGATATATTTCTTTTAGAGCATAATATTTTTCTGAATGATGAGAAGTTAATTTTTCCATTGGTCACTACTACATCATAGGACAGCCATAAATGAATGAAGCACAGGTTGAGCTTGACACAGTTAAAAAGACCTTGAGGTAAAAGAGCCTTTAAATCTACTGAGAATGGTTCTTAGAATAATTTAAGAGGTAGTATGGGTGTTTTGTATCCTTGAAAACTCTTTGAATGGCAACTTTATATAGTAGATTATATTTAACTTTCCCTTACTCAGCTGTTTGTCAGAGTCCAAGAATTGTTTTATTCCTGAATTAAGAAGTCTGAAGTCCCATCATGGTCTGGTTATACGTACCTTTGCCTCTGTATGACATTGGAAGAGAAAGTGTCATTTCAAAAATACAGCTCCCCTAGGCATCTAAGTTCACTGGTGCCAACAAGCTGGCATTTTTGTGGCTTTGTATTTATAAATATGTTTCAGTGTTTTTCAGTAGGTAGGCTATCTTTTGTAGAAAAGATAAAGAACTTATAGATTCTCTTCATGTCAGAAAAATAATATGAGATATTCATGCATGCATAGCTCTGAACTGCTTTTCACATGAGAAGAGGTTATAAGGAAATTTCATAGGACAGCTAGCTTGATTTTACATAAAATGTAAAATTTTATCATTAATTCAATATCAACATTAGCTTTTCTATCCATGTAAGAGAAGTTTGCTTAAGGAACTTAATGTTTTTTAGAAATACTTTCATTGTGATTTCAGATAATTCCATGGTGAATATAATTTATTATAGTCGTACAAGGTCCTTATGTTTATCTTTAATGTCATCACATCAGTGTTTTTTAAACACCATTAATGTATAATCTATATTTCCTTTGGGAAAATGATCGCCATAATCAGCCCATTATTATAATATTCTAACATTGTTCATTAAATGTCCAGTTATGTGAAATAAAAAGACAATGATAATTCTAATGATAGCAGAATCACACAAGCTTAATAAGATATATCTGTTGATAATTTGCCTTTCTTTATATAGCTCTTGATCATGTTCATAAGACTGAAATCTTTATTCGTACTGTTTCTTTTTCTTCAACACATAGGGGTGTGAGCTTATTTCAACTCCTGATCAGGACCACACTGACTTTACCAAGTGCCTTCAAGTGCTTCAGAAAAAGATAGAAGAAAAAGGCCTACAGGTAAGCTATACATTTATTTGGTAGCTAAGGGTCTTTTTACCAAGGTTGTAAAATAGCCTGTTTAAAACTTTGACTTATCTGAAATGTTTATTAATTTTGTAATGTTCCTTTTGGATTTATGTTGTGTTTTTCTATATATGAAATAAAGTTGTATTGGGCTGCTAAAACATTAACAGGTACATGTAAATCGAAGGTCACAAATATAAATATCTTAGGGTGACAAGGTATAAAGTGGGTGAACTGGACCGTGCATGAGATCATCAGAATCAAGAGGTCGTTGTTGTTCATCTCTAGTTTGTTGTTGCTGTGCAGAGGCATATGTGCTTTCTTAATATATCTGTTTAAATATTGTGTTCACACAGCTGTAGAATTTAGTCCAATACTTTTTCTCCAACTACTGACAGGATCATATGGCTTTTTCCTTTCTCTGTTAAAATGATGACTTTTGGGGGTGGATCTTCCAATGCTGAACCAACACTGCCATCCCTATAACAAAACCACTTTCTACATACTGCCAGATCTGACTTCTAATTGTTTTGTTAGACAAATTTCTATCTATGTTCATACTTTTTCTTCTATTATCTTTATCCAGTTTTAGGATTAGCACAGTGTTGATTTCCTAAAATGAGGGGAGAAGTGTTCCTTCTTTTTTCTGCTTTAAATGTTTGATATAATTTGTCAGTTAAAATGTATATGAGCCTATTGTTGTCTTATAGGTAGGTTTTCAAGGTAGGAATATACTTTCTTTAATAGGCACTATTCAAATTTTATATTTCCTCCAGAGTTAGTTTCATTAATTTGTCTTCCAAGTTACTTCTTAGAAGTTGTCAAATTTATCTCAGAAAAGATTTTTGTAATATGCTTTCTATATCCTTTTAAATTCTGTAAAATCTGGGGTAATGCCCTCTAAATTTTGATATTGTAATTAAAACAATGTATAATTGATATTGTGTAATAGGAAGAAAAGGTCTAAAGGAGTAGGGGAAGTAGGAGGGGTAGGGGAAAGGAAATAAGGGAAAAGAAAAAATATGAGAAAAGGAAAAAAATGGAAACAAAGTCTTTGCAAATAGGGAAGGGCGGAGGGGATGAAGGGAGAGCAGGGGAAGGGGAAAAAATAAGAACCAAGATACTCATGTAATGGTACAAGATCCCAATGATGAACGTAACTGTATTTTATACCTAAAATGTACCAATAAACTTAATGGGGAAAAAGTAAAATAAAAAGTAAATATTGTGTTCACAAATCAAATAGACAAATATACCATTTACTTGGCCCATTTTCCATCATTGAAAACTCTTATGGAAATCATAAAATATCACCTTCATTTTTTTAAGTGGGAGAAGAATCTACTACTTTTCATTTGTGTATTCTTTAAGGTATCTAGTAATGATTTTTCATCTATCATCCAAATGTTTAATCACATTCATTAATCAATAACTAAGCATACATATATATTTTTTTATTACTATTGAAATGATACATGAAATATTTTAGGTTCTTTTTTTTTAATGTGAAGCGAAGAGGTTTATCTTGGTTCATAGTTTCAGTTCATGGTCATCTAGCTTCAAGACATCATGGCAGAAGGGTGTGCTGGAGGAAAGCTGCTCAGCTCACACCACCCAAGAAATACCAGGGGAAGAACACTAAAGACAAAGAGAGCACAGAGAGCCTCCAATATCATTCCCCTATGACTTTTCCAGACATAGCCAAAAGTGTCTTTTGTTAATCTCTGAAGTCAATCAAAATTAACCATCACATCTACCCACGGTCTACTTGACATCCAAACACATCTTCTTAAACTATACATAATCTCGAAATGAAGACAAGGTCATAATTTTACCTAACATTATTCAATTATACTGCCATATAATTATACAACCAGAAATGCTCTATTTCCTTTCCCAAAGTTTCAGTAGTCACAGTAGTGCTCAAAATCCCAAGTTCAGTCTCCTCTGAGATTCACAGCAAACCTTTACCTGTGAACTCCTGTAAAATTCAAAAAACAAGTTATGTAATTCCAAGACACAATGCACCATTGAACCATTAAACATTTCCCTTCCAAAAAAGATTTACAGGAGAACAGAAAGTAATAGGACCAACTCAAGACAGAAAACCAACAGGCAAACATTAAGTCCTGTAGTTCCATGACCAGCATTCAGGGAATGTGGCAACATGATGTGATCTCTACAGGTTATGCCAGCCTCACTCCTATGGCCTTGCTGGTTGCCACTCATATGGCCTCTCTCTTGGGCTGGCTCTGCTCACTACCTACAGCTTTCCTTGGCTCATGTTCCACATCCCTAAAATCTTGACATTCTTGTGATTTCCAGTGCTTTTGCCTCACACCCACAGTGTCACAGATGGCTCTTTCAGGGACACCTGGCAGGGACTTCCACCCTATCACACATTGTTTGGACTTCCAGGCCTTCCTTTAAAATCTCAGTGGAAGGTTCCATGACCCTTTCTGTAATTCTTGCATTCTACATCCCTGCAAAATCAGCATCAGGTGGATGACAACAGTCTGCTGCCAGTTTGAGCAGTAGCCAGGTCCCCTTGGACTATGGTTGCAGTGGCTTCTGAGTACTTGGTTGATTGATCATGAAGAAACACATCCATAGGTAACTCTTGAGTAAGCAGGATCCTGAGGCCTCTCTTCTCAAAGCAAAGGCTTTCAAAAGACTTCACATTTTTAACACTTAGGCCTGTGATACATGGGATCTTGCTGATTCCTGAGACACCTCCAAAGCGTCTTTCTTTTTGTACTGGTGCAAAGTACTTGATTTCTTTTTAATGGCACTAATATCTTAAGCAACCACATATTTTTTGTCCTCAACTTTGCTTGTGCTTCTTTTCTGGCAAAACTGCAAGTTTTTCAAGTTTTTCAGAAGCTCTCTTTTTTGCTTCTGATTCTCATTATAAGTATGGGATTCCATTCCAAGCCTTTAAAGCCTTCTTTCCAATGGATCATCTACCCTGTGCTGCCCCCTCTCTTCAAGGTTCCTTCTTCATGAATAGAAAATTAGAAACAGTTAACACTTAGTTGAGGTAGCTGAAGATCCCTTAACATCTGAGGACACTGCTCATCCAGGCCGGACTCAACTAGGTTCGCTTAGATGCTCTTTGATTCCCATTGGAGCTTCAGCTCCAAGGCTTCTGGCTCCAAGGAGACTAAGGTTGGGATTTCATTGTTGAGTTTGATGAAGTCTTGTCCATCAGAGGTATTGTTCCAGAGTTTGACCCTGTGCAGTTTGTATTTTTCTCTTAGACCTCTCAACCCTACTGTGTTCAGTCAGCTTTTTGTCACTGTGGCAAAATACCTGAAAAAAAAAAAACAATTTAAAGGAGGAAAGATTCATTTTGGCTCATGGCTCATACTTACCTGGTTCCTAAGCAGAAACATCTTGGTAGAAGGGCAAGGTGGAGAAGGCCATTCCCCTTGTGGCAGCCAGGAGGGAGTGAGAAAGAGAGGGAGAGGGAAAAAAGAGAAGAAAGGGCCAGGGTTAGCATATAACTTTCAAAGCCAAGTACCTACACAGTGACTTGAAATTTCTTAAGGTTGTTAAGAAACAACTATAAAAGTAAACAGGAAGCATTGAATGGCAGTTTTTCATAGGAGAAATAAGCTGAAATGCATTATCAGTTGTGTAATTTTATACCAAGAAAACTAGAAAAAAAAGCATTGTATAATAGAATGCATTTGATAACACCAATAACAGGCATGGATTTCAACTTGGCCTCAATAATCCAGTAAAAGAGAGAGGCCTCAGGCACAGCTCATTGGATCTCATGATGTTTCCTTAATCTATTTTATCCCTGCTGTATGGGCTTTGTCTTCTGACTGATTTTTCTGACTGCCTCTAACTCTTACTGGCAGCAACTTTTTACCCTTCACAGTAGAGGGATAAGCATGAGAGAGAAGGGATGTTTGCATCACTTCTGACCATCATTAAATTTAACTCCCAAGATCTCCCTGTTAAGGCACTCCTGGAGTTGGCAAAGGAGGGTGAGAGTATCCTGATTGTCTTAGACTTGACAGAGGGATGGAATCAGTCCGGATGGCTCACATATTCAACCTCCATGGCTAATACATATTTTCCTAGGAGAGGTAGGTGTCAGGGAGGCAACTTCAACAAACACTCACTTCCTAGCAATAAAGTTTATCAGAAATTTACTCTAGCATTTATCTTAGAGGTAGTAAATCTTTTCCACCTTTGGAGAAACACCTTGTTAACTATTATAATTGGCAAGTATAGCCCAATTTGCAAACTCAGCAAAAGTAATTAAGTGAATATTTCTCACTTCTGTTATAGCTTTGCTGAACTGCAGTTAATGTATCATACTATTTCTAGTAATAAATTTTCATAATTAATATTTGCTTAATAACAGAAAATAACCAGTTGTGATTTACCTAATTTATCCAAATATAGCCAGATCTGAGTTACTTAGAAAAAAATTATAAATCTTCACAAGTATGTTTTTATTTCTGCAGCACTTTCACTGAAATTATTAGAAACTAGGAGAGAAGTTATGTGCATCTCATTTGTTATCTCCAATTGATAGTCTCTGTAATACAGTGTGCAGTTACCAAGTCTGAAATAATAGTATCTCAGACTCAATAAGACTGGAGTCCAGAAAGAGCTTCAGACAGAAAGAACAGGGTATGATCGAAAACAAAATCTGAGGGAGATATGGCTGATCCATTGATGGTCCTCAATAAGGGTACCTGATAGACTCACATTGGAAAGAAATAGGACCAACCCTCTAATTCAACTAATTAGTCATAGAGTAAAAGCTGCTCAGGAGGAATGTGAATAAAGCTCACAAGTTATCGTGGGCTTTGTGGCATGAAGTGCTGCACCCTGCAGAATTTGCAGCTGGGTAGTGGCAGCTCACTGCCCTCTCCTTAACCTAATGGTGAGCTCTTGATGGAGAGAAATGTGTTATTGCCCAGCCGTAGTGGGCCCAATCCATTCTCAGGTGTTATCCAGTATTAGTCGTT